GTTTTTTTTTTAATTGTAGATCTATCGCTGAAACGTTTGCCTCAGAAGAGAAATATCAGTAAATAAATAAATACAAAAATCAGCAGCAGACACACGAAATTAATACAATAACTTCCGAGCTCTTTCTCGTAACAAAAAACATTCTTTTCACAGACAAGTATTTATGTTTTCAATAATCCTTTCAGTGTATTAAGTAATTATCTTTAGAAGTTTTTCTTTATCTTATTAAGTTATTCTATTCTTGTAAAGTCTGTAAAAACAATGTCGTGAGAGAGAAAGAGAGAGAGAGAAGAGAGAGAGAGAGAGAGAGAGAGATGCAAACCCTTAATACATGTACATTATCTGTAAAAAAAAACAAAACTTGTATTTATTCTCATTCTTCATTTTATTTACATCGCCAAAGTCACAATTAATCAGTCTATGATGCTATTTAATCAACCCATTTACAACTATTGTGCAATGAATAATCCGTTCTCTGTACATGCATGCTGCCGCATGAAATCCTCGTGCATCACCTGTCAATCAAAATGGCATGACGCTAGGTGACCCTGAAAGTCTGTTTACGCAGGAAGAATTTCTCCTGTGAACTGAAACATTCTTTTGGTCAGTTCATACTTCACACCTGTCTAAAAAAAAATATTGGGTCACAACCGGAGAGACGGGGGGGGGGGGGGGGGGGGCTGTGTTTAACACACCTTTCGAATTATTTAGTTCTGACCACATCAAGTGTATTAAATCACTCAACAGACATCCAGCAAACTCATCTTCCAGGTTTCACCACAACACTGATTACAAATTTACTTCCTAAATTATCCCTTTTCAGACAAAAATAAATAAGCATGTATCCCTGAATTATAATTTTCTTTTTTTACAAAAGCACAATTTAAAGCCACATAAATTCGCATAAGTATCGCCTTCTAGAGGGGGGGGGTAACAAACATAATATGGCTTGAAAGAGGATTGATATATTTTTTTTATTTCATTTTATTTAGTAAATAATTTTTTTTTCAGACACTAATAAAAATGTTTCCTGTAGATTATGATTTTTTAATTACAACAACGTACCATTTTGCAGACTTTTAAAGAACTTATAACCAGCTAGTTCGTATTGCTTTCTAGAAAGGGGATGGGTGTACAGTGTAACAAACCTTATAATATCTTCATTTTTTCGCAAACTGTTTTTTTTCCCTCATTTTTCATAAGATGTATTTCAGAATGAAGTAATATTTATACTGCAGTTTGCACATTTTATTTGCAAGAAATTCGGCTGGCGATTTTTGTATGCAGCGTGAAAGTTGGTCACAGTTTTATTAGTAAGATTATTATCTCTGTCTGTTCAGTAGAATTCTTCATGACCACATGTAATATTTTAAGCCATATTTTACATGATTACAGATTTTCAGTGCAAGTACAACTGCTCCAATGATTCGCCTAATAGTAAGAATCTTAACAGAATTAATGTGAGAGTCTAATACGGATCTTTTTTAAATTTGACAGTTTATATATGTTTTAAAATTCTTACAAAACTAGAGGTACTGTGAGCGATGAGCTCACTAAATGATTATAACTCCATGTTTTCCTGTGGCCGGGAAATTTGACAAAAAGTTTATATATGTTTTAAAATTTTCACAAAATAATTCATTAGTAAATATCACGCATGTGATATGTCCTACATGTACATATGAATGCATACTTACAACAAAAATGATCTTGTATCCGATAAGATTTAAATTAATGATTTAAATGAGCAGAATTAAAATCAAAAGTAGAGACAACCAGGGAATTAATTCATGAAAGCATGTTCTATCTTAGTGGTATTATAGTCTATTGAACTTTTTTTTATGTCAAATACAATTATAGGATTATGAAACATGAATTAATGTACATGTGCACATTTAAGGCGGTTTTTTTTTCCCTGGGCACGAGCACAATTATATTGAATTTTCGGGCATCTTATAATATTAGTTTAAATATCTGTATTGTTAAATTACGAATATTTTAATACAGCTAATATTTCAAAAGGAAATTGATTTAATTTGCTAAAACTTATAGTATGAAAACGAAAGACTTCAAAGATGCCGACATTGTTCGAGGTCCACAGTGCCCCGTACGTCTTTTGCGGGAAAAACTCGTGGCCTGTACTGTACCTTTGACCACAAACACAACCGGTTGATTTAATTTATAGCAAATAAGGAATCGTCTCACACTCTGTCTAGTTGTTTTGCAGTTGTAGTTTGCTTCGAGTAGTTTCCTTATTTTTACAGTTGAAGATCCAGACGCATGATACTTGATAATGGTGTTTCGAACAGGCAGACAGAGCCTCCGTCCTCCTTTCACAGGCGCCGTAGCGAGAAATAAACCAAAATGACTTATTTGGTCATTATACGATTCAAAAATCTTTGGGGGCGTGGTTTGCATAATTAACCAAAGAACGGTACGGTTTGTTTCTTGCACGGAACGGTACGCTTTGTGGACGGTACGGTATGCTTTGTGCACGGAACGGTTCGCTTTGTGGACGGTATGGTACGCTTTCTGCACGGAACGGTACGGTTTGTTTCTGAGGTGTAGTAGCACGGTTTAGGGTCTGTATATATTTTGATTAATTTATTGTTTGTGCTAAATGCATTCAAAAATTTTTTTATATTTGTTTTAGATCATACTGTTTTATTACATATTACATTGTCTTCAATGCAAAAATAAAATAATGCATGTTACATTTCGATGCAAATTGCAATAATCCAAAAATTAGGTTATTAGATTTTGCATTATTACATTTTGTGCTGATCTTGATGCAAAATGTAATAATGCAAAATGTAATAATCCCACTTTATTACATTTCACATTGTTGTTACATTTTGCACTGTAACAGTGCTGTCTAATCCATCTAAACTTGTCTAATATTTTTTAAATTCAAATGTTTGAAAGATTTTTCCTACATACTCCATGTATATCTTTGATCTTCCATTGTGGACCCACCCTACCCCTGTGGTCATTGATTTGAACAAATTTGAATCTACAACACCTGAGGATGCTTCCACATAGATATGGCCAATCATAGGTTTGCTGTTCTTGAGAAAATGATTTTTGAAGATTTTTCCCGTATTCCTATGAACCAGTAAAATTGATTGTCCATTGTGGCCCTGGGCCACCCCACCCTACCCCTGGGGGGTCATGATTTGGACAAACTTGTATCTACAAAGGACCTTTTCTGGCTACTAATTTTGTCTCCATAGCACCTAAAAATTCTCTGTAAGTCGCCATACTGGCAACCAGTTGAAATTAAGTCGGAGATCATCAAATTCCGAAACTATACATTATTTCTATTTTTTTTTGAATTGTTATGATTGCAAAAGACCCCCTCCCCTTCCTGGGACTAAATGACCCAATGATTTCGTCAATTTAGATTGGTATTAAAGAAAAATTTACCTGGCAACTAAAAATTTGCATTCAATGGTTACTGTTTTTTTTTATCAGGAGCCAGCCAGCTGGCACCTTAATTTTGGAGGTCAAGTTTGATTGAAATTGGCCCAGTAGTTCTAAAGAAGAAGATGAAATTGTGAAAAGTTTAAGACAACGCCAATGACAATAACGACAATGGATAAATTTTGATCAGAAAAGCTCCCTTGGGCCTTTGGCTCAAATGAGCAGGTTTTGTCAAAGGTAATACACATTTGTAATTTAAATGTAAGCCCTATCTTTTCTCTTGAAAAGTTATGTCCAATTTAAAGTTATGTTAAAATTCTTAAAAAGTAGGTCAAACTTAAAGGTCAAGGGGTAAAAATTCATGGTAAGTTTGAAAAGGTCTTGTCACAGGTAATGTACATAGGAAATATGAAAGCCTTATCAATTCTCATTCAAAAGTTATAACCATGGTTAAAATTTTTGCGACAGACATAAAACCATTGTTTATTGTAGTGTTGTCACGATGATCGATTTATAATCGATGATCGGTTGGAAAGGCTGTCGATTTTAGACAATCGATTGGAGATTTTAACAATCGATTAATCGGTATATTTCAGCACATATCTTTTTACAGTTTTCTCACTTTTATTTCAAAAACAGGCTCTTGTTATCAAATTATATATCTTTCAAGAGTTGTCCTTTACTATTTTAAACTACATGTACTTAAAATCTGTTTAAAATAAATCATAAGATAATGATATGTGTATTTCTAAACTGAAGAAACTAAACTACTTGTATAAATGAAATATATTAGTTTTCAGTATTTGGGGAAATTCACGGACACCTGTCATTTCATACGGAACTCAAGGATTTGCAATATTAAATGTCTTATAACAGCTTAAAAAATTAATTCCATATACATAATGTACATTTTAGATGATCATGTAAAACCTGATCTGTCAAAGCTTACTTTTCCCAGGCCAAGTAATTCCTAATCATGCAAAAATCTGTATTACTGAAATTGTTAATCAAACTGCATATATGCTGTTTTTAGCATTTCAATTTTTACAATGCACCTTTACTTACATTATTTAAAAATAAAATTCTAAATTTTATGAAATCTAATGCCTATTTAATGCAAAGGGTTACCGATTCGATTATTGGCCGATGATCAGTTGGTTAGGGTCAACCGATGCTACCGATTAATCGATTCTGATTTTCAACCGATTTGACAACACTGGTTTATTGTATTAAATGAGATTCAATATCCCCTTGCATTCGCAAAAGTAGAGGACTATAAAGTTTCTAATTTTTTGTTTTCACCCTGGGGCGAATGGTGGATGTTCTAGGGTAAAACACCCTTGGCTTGATGACCCTGGAATTCTATATCTATTTTACTATGATGAGAAATCACCTTTGGCTATATGATCCTGGCTTTATACATTATACAGATTTTTAGATCACTGCTGTTGAAAAATATCTTTGGTACATGTATATTGAAATTTGAATGAAATATACTTCCTTAGCTTCACTTGTATACAATAGATATAAAGGCTCTTGATGAAATATAATTGTTTTAAAATTGACAGATTGAATACCTGATATTTTCATATTCACAGTGTTGACTGGACTGACAGAACTCCATGATATGTTAAAACCGTTTTTCTCTGGAAGTTGATCTACATACACAATTGGACGACTGAGGGCTGCAAATATATATACAACATACGTTACACAGAATACCGACTTTGCATGCATAAATACAAACTAAGATGAAAGAAAAAGTGAGCAAGCTCACATACCCCACACTCCCAAAACTCAAAGTGCTGAGAATCCCCGAAAAATAAAGGAATCTGAGAATTTCCCTGTAATATGCACATCTACACATTGTGTCCTAAATATCTGCAAAATTTGATGAAATTCTGTGCAGCAGTTTATGAGGAGTTGCATTGACAAACTGTTCATCGCTATATTCAAGATATCCCCAAAAATCTAAGTTGAAAAGTGCCAAAATACCCCCCAAAAATAAAGGAATCTGAGAATTTCCAGGTAATATGCACATCTAAACATTGTGTCCTAAATATCTGCAAAGTTTGATGAAATTCTGTGCAGTGGTTTAAAAGGAGTTGTGCTGACAAACTGCTCATCTCTATATTTAAGGTATGGCCAAAAATCTAAGTTGAAAAGTGCCAAAATTCCCGGGAAAAATTAAGGAATTGGAATTTCCTGGTAATATGCACATCTACACACTGTGTCCTAAATATCTGCAAAGTTTGACGAAATTCTGTGCAAAGATTTATGAGGAGTTGCGCTGACAAAAAAAAAGGACTGACGGACTGACTGACACTCTGACGGACGGGTCAAAACATTATACCTCATGCACCCTGTTGCATGGGGTATAATGATACTCTTACTCCTGCAAATGATCAAAAGCAAGTGTTGTGAACTAGTATATTCAGATGACCAGGTTCCATTGATTCTGATTTGTCGGTTACTAAGTCACAGGTACTTGGGTACGGGGCACCCCCCACCCGAGGTTCCCTTCGCATCCGAGTACATATGCGAAACTTTGCAGAAAGAACAAGTATACCTTGGTAACTAATATGCAAGAGAAAAATTAACTGTACAAAAGTGCGGCCACGTTCGTTTTTAAGAAAAACTGTAGTTGAAAATACTTCATTTTTTTATAGATGTGACTTTTCCTCCTCATTAAAATCTATACTTTTAAAGAAATTAAATGTTGAAGTCTGAATCTGAATGTGTTATTATCTAATCTATACTTTTACAGAAATTTATTGTTTAAATCTGTATCTGAATGTTATGAAAACCACATAAACTTCTTCTTCGTAAAATTTATCAGGGGACATTGCATGGAAATCAATGACACAAAACATTAAAAACATGACGTCACAATGAGCCGGCATATGTTGAATAACCAAGTTCTTCAGTCTTGCATAATTATAACATAATAATATGATAAATTTTCAATCAATATATGCAGTGAAAAACAGTCGAACGACATAAGAATACATTTATACATGTGCCTCTTATTAAAATGAGCGTCTCCTTCATATTGGACGTGATATTGACTTTATGTTCAAGAAAAAGATTTTTTAGCATTTTATTGAAAATTATCATGCAGCTTTTCTAAAGTATGATTTAGATTATATATTTATCATGCTGAATGTTGACATCAGTGCTTTCAAGACAGGTTTAAATTAAACATTCAATTCAAAGGCGGATCCAGGGCCGTTGCGTCGAGCCCCCCCAAATCCACCGTTTGATTTTGTAAAACAAGCTTAAGCATGTAATTAATTATTTTTTTGTTACTAGCATTAAACACAAACTTATCAGTAGATCTACACGTATGGTATGAGATATTCCGAAATACTATTTTACCGCCATGGCAATGTATTTTAAAATTCCTGCAAGGTGACGATTGGTTTTCTAAATCAAAGGAGGGGGGCACATATTATAGCAGATGTTCGTTCCCCGGACCCTACCAGGAATGTGCTCCCAACCCCCATGGGGCTTCAACGCAGCTCCAGACACCCTGTCCTCTATACCACCCCATCGTCTCAAGCCACGGTCCACTTTCCGCATATAGCTCTCTCCTACAATGGGAGAGGATCGTACATTTTGACCGTGGTTTGCGACGATGTACCACCCCCTCCCCCGTTATTAAATTCCTGAATCCGCAACTGTACTCTATAAGGAGTTTAGATAATAAAATAATATTATTTTGACAAATTTTGTATGGCTAAAGTTGTGAGTGTTTTCGGAAATTTCTATGTAATTTTAAAAAGAAACATGATGCAATCAATTATTTATTTGTGTCTGAATAAAGATTAACAGTTCCCAATAGCAATTAACATTTTTCTTTACACAGACAAGTGAAGGCAATTTTAACATATATGAATCTGCTGTATATTTAAGAAAAAAAAAACAATTGCATAATTTTTTGACAAGAGACATGCTTTTCCCCTTCCGCTGCATACAATTGATGTGTCTAGTTCGATTAGGACTTTTTCAGAAATTAATTAAGTCATTTAAAAGACACTAAATTGCTTTTCAAAATTATCTGTGTTAAAACGAATGTATCAGACAAAACATTGTTGGGATTTAAAAGAATTTCAACAAGATTGCCCATCAAATAATACATTAATTATGTCATAGGATATAAATATTGATACAAATGACATTCATAAGGTCTGGGAAGGTGGGGAGGGGTGTCCAGTCCATATCACCATAGTGAAAATGGTGGTACACATCAGATCTAAATTTTAAAGATGTTAACTTCCGTCTGTGATGATGATTCGTTCCGCAAAAATATGAAAAGTATTTGAAGAACAAATGACGTAAAACATTGCGAAGGCCCCAGAAAGTTAGTGTTTCCAAAGGAAGTGTGACAGGATTGGAACTGAAATTATTTTAATTGTCACTGAAATCTTTTAAATATCTATAAACATTTACATTTAGGAGGTATTGTAAAGCATAATCAATATTAAAAATGTTTATGTTTTAGCAGTTTTTGTCTCAGTAGATGTATAGTCACGTAAATGACGTAATACGTCATGTCAGCTGTTTGTGAGGTATATTTTAAAAGAATTTTTCTTTAAAACAACTTTCAAGAAAAAAAACTTATTTTGTTAGAAACCCAATCTCGCTTTCTAATGGTAATCCTGGAATGACAAACCTAAAACCCCAGTCACATTTCCAAAAACGACCATCGGCCGACGGGTTTTTAGGCAAAAATGGGATTCTTCGAGCGACAATCTTCAGCTAATCGGCCGTTGTCTGGCTCGATTTTGACCTCTTTTTTCATCGGCCGACTAACTTTTTGTCCATCGGGCCAAGTTATAATTTTTTCTGCGTCGGTGGCCGATTTCTATGGTTCAAACAGTCGTTGAGAAGTCCTTCGAGCAACCCTCGATCATCGTCCGACCACCGCTAGACAGTTTTTATGTCTGTCGTCGGTCGCTCGACATTTAGGTTTTGGGTTTTTCTAAATTTGTTGTCCGAGGGGCACCGATGGAAGACCGGAAATCGACCGAGGGTCGACTGGTTTATCCGGCAATTTTGATAAATCGCCTGATGGACAGCGGACCTTATACTGATTACTTTTAGCATCTACCGCCTATCGGTCGAAAAGCAACGGCCAAGCGGACGACGTCATGCTGCAAACTTTTTTTTTTTTATCAAAAGTTGAAGCGATGGTAACTTGGTTGCAAATGATTATTCAGCAATTGCGTTTGAGGCTTCTGATGATGCGCATAAGACAAAATCTACTGCTTCTGGCCCTGCTGAATCTTGTAGAGGAAGATGCCCGAGGGAGAAGAAATCGACGTTCATATTGGGTAAGACCCTGGATTCAGAGGCGTCCAATGTTTGGGCAATATGAAAAACTCATGCATGAGCTAATGGATGAGGCGCATGGTGATTTTAAGCACTATTTGAGGATGCCACCTAATATGTTTATGGAGCTTCTTCATAGAGTCTCCCCAAGGATAACAAAAAAGTGGCGAAGGCAACCACTAGAACCCAGACTAAAGTTAGCCATAACACTCCGCTTTTTGGCAACTGGATGCAGTTATGCTGCATTGGAATTTGACTTTCGTGTGGCCCATAATACAATATCTCTTTTTGTACCCGAGGTATGATTATATTTTGAAATAATCTAATTCTAAAACAATTGTATTACTTTTTCATTTTCCTTCAAGTTCATTTGCCAGATTATATATTTTGTTTTGTAGGTTTGTAAGGCTTTGGTAGATGAGTTTGCATCGGAGGTTTTAGCAATACCAAACACACCAGATGAATGGAACGACGTATCTATGAAGTTTGGTTCCCGATGGAACTTTCACCATGCATGTGGTGCCATTGATGGCAAGCACATAGCTATCAAGCAGCCACCAAAGTCAGGGACAATGTTCTACAAGTAAAATTGATGCAAAGCATCAAATCGGCCGCAAACAATAATTTACATTAAAAAAAATCTTTCACAATATTTAAAAGCGTCCATGCAATATCACGTCAAGATATTCAAAGGTGGAATAGTTGGATCAGTTTTATTTCAGACTTTTCGTGTCTTTTCAGCAAAATTAATAATTAACAAGAGGCCCAGGGGCCACAGCGCTCACCTGAGCACATCGGCTAGGAAAAAGCACATATCAGATCAGAACTGAAAGTTTACTGAGGTGATGGTGGGGGGAGGGGGGGGCTTGAATTTTAACCTCCCAGGCGTTCATGATTTGAACTAGAATCAACTACCTTAAATTCATATAAATATCACTAATCATGGCTTTGAAGTACTTGAAAAGAAGATTTTAAATATATTGGAATATATCCCTATGTAAAACTTGTCGGCCATTTTGGCCCCGCCCTAGAGCCAGGGGTCATGAAACAAACCTGTAATTTCACATGAGTTTTATCTTTCCTGTCTCAATGGTTCTTGAGAAGAAGATTTTTAAAGATTTTTCCTATATCTTCCTGTGTATTGGGTCGGCCAAAAACGTGAATCTACACTACCTCAGCCACATGAGTTTTATCTTTCCTGGCCCAGTGGTTCATATATTCCTATGTAAAACTTGGGTCGGCCATTGTGGCCCCACCCTAGCCTGGGGGTCAAGATTTGAACAAACTTGAGTCTACACTACCTGAGGATGATTCCACATGAGTTTTACCTTTCCTAACCCAGTGGTTCTTG